GTGAGGAAAAATTTCTTCACCAAAAGGGTTGTCAAGCATTGGAACAGGCTTCCCAGGGAAGTGGTTGAGGCACTGTCCCTGAGGGTATTTAAAAGACGTGTAGATGTGGTGCTTAGGGACATGGTTTAGTGGTGGACTTGGCAGTGTTAGGTTAACGGTTGGACTTGATGATCTTAAAGATCCGGTTCCAACCTAATGATTCTATGATTCTATGATTCTGTGATTTACTAAGGCTGTAAAGAACCTTGGATTTTTAGTGTGAAACTGGTATAGCAGTACTGTCAGATTTGCATATCAGTTATTTTTCACCTCTTGTTTTGGCATAGCTGTAACTCAAGAAAAAATGTGTCACTTGTTTTCTTCCTATTTTCTGCCTTTGAAGATATCTAAGTACTCTGAATTACATAGGTCTGAATAAGATCCAAAACCCCATTGATTTCTTTAAACTATATAATAGAAACTCACGGATGACAAGAAAGAACCTCCCCCCAATATTTATTGAGAAATAAAACTGATAACATGATTAACCTCTATCACAATCTGTGTTTACGTACTCTAAGATAAGAAATGGGATTTAGCCAAATCCCAAAGTAGTGTGTGACTTGGATTTCTGTTTTTCACTTGATCACTGCTGTTAAAGTGAATCAAACTGAAGTTGTGAAACAGAACATTCCTAGCCATTAAGTTGTTCAGAAAACATATCTCGACTTTGGTGAGGGCTAATCTGTTACAAGGATTATATGGTGTTCCCTCAAAAACCGAGCATCCCATCTTGAAATTATGTGGAGCCCACTTGGCCTTATTATAAAGATGGGTGTGTTATGCAATGAAGATATAGCTGAGGTGTCATCAAGTCAGTAGATATTTTGCAAGTTTAAAAAAAAACAAACAACATCATCTTGAAGAGATAATGATGCAAGGTTTTGCTGTGGAAATCAATACTCTTTCCAGAAGACACATAGAAAATATTTTCAAAACAAACCAGTTCCTTTAACATTCTATTGAATGTGCAATTTGCTATTTGTATTAAATGTCACTGAGAAAGCCTACTTCTCCCAAATTATTTTCTTGCTAATAGTTTTTACTTATTTTGGGTTTACTTTTTTACGTCTACTGAGATAGTACTTCAGTTTTATACATGATTTTCCCGATTTTAAAATGGCCTTCTGATAAAATCAAAATAAATTCAAAACAACTTCAGGGCACACTCATAAATTTAAAAATATTACCTGAGCAATGAGGAAGAGATCCACTCCAGTGTCCATTTAACTGACATGTACGAGATGACTGCCCTAACAGTGATCGTCTACCTGTGCAGGTATAATGAACAGTAGACCCAAACGTATATTTATCTCCAGACAGGACCGCATTAGGAGGAATGCCAGGATGGCCACAGTCAATCACTACAATGCATAATTATTGGAGATAAAAAAAGGTTATTATCACTGATCAAACAGTTTGTAGTTATCATTTTCATAACTCCATACATAAACTTTGTGAAGAGGCTGACCTTTTTAGGGTTTGGGGGAGGGGGGCACATTATGTGATTAGAAACACAAAATATATTACAGACCAAAAGCTGTGAAACAAATGTTTGGAGATGTCAAAAAAGTATTTTAGATATAGATATTGATGTCCAAAGACATTCATTCACTAAGTTGATCTTTAAGGCATGAACACATGCACACACACAAACACACACTCATGCATGTACTCTTCAGAGAAAAAATACAGGAAGACAGTATCTGCCAAAGTCACTGCTGAGGTAGAGAATATGCAGACCTTCATCCCTCATCCACTGGTCCCAAATCATTGGTCATGAAGTCTATCAGGTTTATAAACAAGATCATTTTTGTTAAATTTTGCTATGAACCTTAATATACTAATTTCATATTCATGGTTTTGGTTACTCAAAATATTGTATTGCATAAATAAAATATTTGTTTACATATTTTTAACATATTCCTAGGCATCATCCATTGATGTTAATTGCACAGAGGTTGGAGGCAATTTCTATAGGAACCCAATCTTAGAAATAGTCATGTATAAACTCCTTATCAGTTGTTTATTGAGTACATTTTGATCAATAATTGCTAGTTATTTCCATACTGTGATTAATTTTTAGTACTCTTAATCTTGACAATTTGTGATTTCCACTTACAGATTGCACATAAGGGTATCCAACTTACACACATCTAATTTTGCTAACTGGCTCAAATGTCATGAAGTATGTAAACTCAGGAAAGAAAATGGGAAAATTTAGCATGGTATCTTTTGTCCTTTAGTTGCCTTTTATACAGAAAATTATGGTAAGTGGCTCTTCCTATAAATGGTCAAAAGCAGTGATTCTTTTCTAGGAATAAAAAACAGGCTAAATGATAGAAACCTGATCTAAAATCAAGATAACACCACTGAAATAATGTCAGCAGCCTCCTATCTACTGGAAAGTTGTATAAAGTAACAGTCAAACTACCTTGGCTAGATCAACAGGAAGCTAGCTACTCCATAAGGCTAAAGTAAAATGACAAAAGTTCTTATGCATCATTATGGAGAACATTATCTACATGGACAATGTATGTAATGGAAACGAGGTTCTGCATTGAAAAGAAATAGCTAGTCTGTCTTTTAAGATTAAGAGCACATATCGAAAGTGTACAAAAGAAACCTCCTCACATGTGGAATTAATATAGAGAAAACTTTTAAGAATTCAGAGCAAGGAGTTAATTTAAAATCAAGCTAAATATGTCAGGTTCAGGAAATGCACAGTTAAAATTCATAAACCAAATTCACTCTGTTCACAGAATGAGTCTAGCATTGCATGTTTGATTTCTTTTTATCTTACACCTGTCCATGGCATGTGGCATATATTGGCCAAAGATATTTGTATTTATGCATCATGAAAACCACAAATTATAGCTGCAAATACCAGCATACTAGAACAGCCCCCTAAATCATAACAATGTAGTTTTTATCAATACTTCATCATCTTCAACACCATAACATTTTCAGCAGGATTTTTTTATCAAAAAAAGCCAGATCAGAAGCCTGATCAGGGTTGAGGATGTATTCAATTCCCTAGCACTTCAGATATATACAACAATACAATGGTTGTACAATACGACATATGACCAAAGTCATATATGATGATTCATCTTTCTCTAATGATTATTCTTGGTCTTAGAGCTTTACATTTATACATACACTGATTTGTGTTCAATGACACATGTTCTCTTAAGGGTCCAACTTGCAAGGTGCAGAACCTTCCTGACAACGCCACAAAGGATTTAAGAATGTGGTATGTGATTTATTGACTTTGATTCCTACCAAGTGCCACTGACCCCTGTGACCATTTTGTAGGCTTGTGGGACTTTGAGTAAAATGGTCAGAATGGTCAGCTTTACAAACTGGGCACTTCCTCTTAGCATGTTATTTGTTTAATCAATTGCTTATAAATAAAATCTAGTATGAATTATATATGATTGTAGAGAAGGCAAACTTAGAACATTGTTAGTAAAAAAGCATGTTGGTCATGCAGGCTTCAATGAAATGAAACTGTTTCCTCTTGTGAAAAACATTCACAATTTTTCAGTGTCTTTATTATCTGTATTTTTCCTTATGGATTCTTTTGCCCTTTTCAGATGTTGTCATAGAGGAAAAGTTATACTTATTTCATGCTGGTACCTTACAGAATTCAGTTTTAGGCTTTCCTATATATACTTCTTTTTTATGTTTACACTTTCGTCTAAAAGTCCTGGATTCCTAATAACTGATTTAGAAAATTATACCACCCTGTAATGCTACCCTTAACTTGATTACACATTCTACAAAATTTAATTTGATATTCATGTTCTCAGGTGGGGATTTCATATGAAGAGTTGATCATATTTCTTCTTTTTTTCTCCTAATGCTAATTCATCCTCCATTTTATTTCCGTCAATATCTTTTTTTCTGCCTCTCTGGAATAGAATCATAGAATCGTAGAATAGTTTGTATTGAAAGGGACCTTTAAAGGTCATCTAGTCCAACCCCCCTGCCGTGGGCAGGCACATCTTCAACTAGATCAGGTTGTTCAGAGCCCCATCCAGCCTGACCTTGAATGTTCCCAGGTATGGGGCATCCACCACCTCTCTGGGCAACCTGGGCCAGTGCTTCACCACCCTCAGCGTAA